ATTATATTATATTATATTATATTATATTATATTATATTATATTATATATGTATATTATATATGTGGTATATAATTATATATACATTAATTATATATAATTATATACGTTATATACAATATGTATATTGTATATACACATTATATATATGGTTGTAAATTTTAAAATAATAATAGGACAGAGATGTAGCTCAATGGTTAGCTCACGCACTTGGTTAGCATGTGTAAGTTCCTGGGTTCAATCACTGGCACCAAAACAATTTTTAATACACATATCACAGTCATTATTCAAGTTAAGTTTTATTTTTAAAAGATCAAATTTATTAAAAATTTTAGAAATCAATATGTTATTTACAAAAGCTTTGAGAAAACAAGCAAAAAAACATAATATCCTTATCACATTGAGGAAAATAGGAATTTGTTAAACGGAATCCAGGAAGCAGTAATCAAACCACAAAATAAGCAGACAACATTCAAGACTGTTATAAGTCTGAGTTCCCATGTTTGGCAGTAGGCCACAAACATAGCAGGCATGAGACCTTAGGTTTCCCTTGAAACCCCATCCCAAAGAAAATCACTTTTGTTTCCCATCAAATACATCATTAAGAAGCTAGATATCATTGTACATTCCTGTAATCTAACATCCATGCAGCTGAGGCAGGACCCAGTTGAGAATCTGTTTGAGAAAAGAATATTTGAGAGAGTAAAAATATAAATACAAGCAATATTGTAAAGAAATATTCACAATACAGTTATCCAAAGAATTCGTATGTAAAACATATAATTCAATAAGAAAAATCCACAAATCATGGCTGGTAAGGGCCCAGCAGGGTAAGGCCCTACACACTCAAGTCTGGGGACCTGAGTTCAATCCCTGGACCCTACAACAGAAGAAGAGGCCCAACTCCTCAAAGCCGGGCTTTTACCCCCACACATACAATACTGCACACATACCGCCCTATGTCATGTACATGCTAATAACTAATAAATTAATTTAACCTACAAATCAATAAGAATGACAAAGAAAGCCCAGTAAGAAATCTGTCAAGTTGGGCAGCGGTGGCACAAGTCTTTAGTTCCAGCACTCGAGTGGCAGGGGCAGCCCTCTGAGTTTGAGGCCAGCCTTGTCTATAGAGCGAGCTCCGGGGCACGTAGGGCTACACAGAGAAATCCTGTCTTTAAAAAAAAAAAAAAGGCAAAAAGTTACCACAGCCAGGTCTTTCACAAAAGACTAGTAGAGCCAATGTGTTTATGACAAGGTGCTTAACCCCTGTGTGTAATGGAAAGACAGATGACAACCGCGGGCTTCTGCTCCACACTAAGCGGAATGCCTCAAACTGTAAAGCCTGACAGCATCAAATGCTGGTAAGAACATGGCCGGCAAGGTGACCCTCACACGGCTGAAGATCACCCGGGCACCACCGCTGATGAGCCGTGTCTGCTAAAGCTTTGCCCCCTGCGATGGAGAGTCCTCCATGGAGAGGACTCCATGCGATGGAGAGCTAGATAGATAGCTAGATAACTATCTCTATCATCTATCTGCCTACATCTGAGGTGGCTTGAATGGGCTTGGCCCCAGAGATTCATGTGTTTGAATGCTTGAGCCACGGGGGAGTGGCACTATCATGAGGAGGTGTGGCCTTGTTGGAGGAGGAAGTTAGAGGAGCCTCTTAGAGGAAGTGTGTCACTGTGGAGGCGGGGCTTTGAGATCCTACGTACACTCAAGCTCTGCCCAGGATGAAGCACATCCAGTCTCCCCCTGGATGCCTTAGGATCAAGACATAGAAAAGCAGCCCCCGTTAAATGTTGGCATTAAATATAAGAGTTGCCTTGGTCATGGTGCCTCTTCACAGCAATAAAAGCTAAACTAAAACATCTCTACCTCTCTTTCTGCTTAATGTGTGCCACAAGTTGGGTAGTTTTGTGCTCCTGTTGCGATCACTTATTGCCACACGGCAGGCCCAAAAGTCCATGGAACCAAGAATATGGAGTGAATAACTCCATATTATATAACTCCAAGAATAACACACATAACTGGCCCCTGAGAAGTGGGGCCATTTCTGTGACTAAACCTGACTGAGTGGGTCTATATTTTGACACTAGTTTTCAAGAGAAATTTGGAAACATTAGAAGTAGGGAGAGAAAAAAGTCTAGGTTGTTACAAGCAGAAATTAACAGAATAACAACAGAAATCTGGGTAATTGTAATTTAAATGAGAAATGTCATCCATAGGCTCATGCGTTCAGATACTTGGTCTCCAGTTCTTGGTGTTGTCTGGGGAGAATATGGAACTTCTAGCAGGTGTAGCCTTGATGAAGAAAATATGCCAGTAGGATCTATGGACCTGCCTCACTTCCTGTCCAATCTCTCTGCTTCCTGTGTAGCTGAGATGTGATCTCTCAGCTCTGGCTGCCTGCTACCCACCAAGCCTCCCTCACCTTTATAGATTTCTCCTCTAGAACTGTAAGACAAAATACACTTTCCTCTTTAATTTGTTTTTGATCATGAAATTTTAATCACAACATAAGAGCAACTGATACAACAATAAGTCTCAGATGAGGATAAGGATTCCATTGGGAACTGGGCTAAAAGCCATTCCTGTTCATGTTGGCAAAGACATTGATTACATTTTATCCATGCCCTGTATTTTGCCAGGAGGCTGAGTTTAAAGGTGATTGACTAATTAATTGATCTCAGCTAGGAAACTTCGAATCAATCCAGAATTTAGACTGTGGCGTGGTTATTGTTGGCGTTTTCAAGCCAAGTTTACAGTGAGAATAGGAAGCGAAATGCAAAGCAGGAAGACTTGAAAACATCTGTTTGGTCATAAAAGCCAGTGCAGAATAAGAACGAAGAAAGGTGTGGACTTGAAAAAAACAATCCTCAACTTCATTTGGAAAAACAAAACAACCAGAATAGCTAAAACAATCCTATACAATAAAAAAAAAAATTTCTGGAGGTATCCCTCACTTCAAGCTCTACTACAGAGAAATAGTAATAAAAACTGCATGGTACAGGCATAGAAACAGACTGGTATATCAATGGGATCAAATCTAGGACCCAGAAATAAACCCACACACCTAGGGACACCTGATTTTTTACAAAGAAGTCAAAACTACACAATGAAAAAAAGACAGCAACTTCAACAAATGGTGCTAGTCTAACTGAGTTTCTACATGCAGAAAAATGCAAATAGAGCTATATCTATCACTCTGCACAAAACTAAAGTCCAAGTAGCTCAAAGACCTCAACATAAAACCAGACACACAAAACCTATTAGAAGAGAAAATGGAAATCAGCCTTGAACTCATTTGCACAGAAGACAAATTCCTGAACAGAACACCAACAGCTCAGTCTCTAAGATCAACAATTAATAAATGGGACCTCATGAAACTAAAAGGCTTCTGTAAGGCAAAGGACACTGTCAATAGAACAAAACAATAGCCTACAGACTGGGAAAAGATCCACCAAATAGAGGACTAATATCCAAAATATATAAAGAACTCAAGAAATTAAACACCAACTAAACAAATAATCCAATTTAAAAATGGGATACAGAACAAAACAGAGAATTCTCAACAGAGGAATCTGGAATGGCTGAGAAGCACTTAAAGAAATGTTCAATGTCCTTAGTCATCAGGGAAATGCAAATCAAAATGACTAAGATT